AAAATATTTGAGTGTCTTTAGCTTTGCATCTAACTGGATAAGATGATAGGAATCATATTACTTACACAATAGAAGAATGCTTATTAACCAATTTCTTAATAAATTATGCTTTGTAATAAATTAATTTGTGCATTGTAACAAATAAGTTAAAAGGCAGTCTAATATAGTATAGTTACTTTGTAGTAACAAAACAAATGCTAGTCCACACTTTGGGTCTATCAGGATTTGATTAGCAGAATCTAACAGCCAAAATTCATACAAGAATCCACAAAACCGATCAATATCATTTAAATTGAACAATGATCCATAAGTGAGCATTGGTTTTATATGTGTGATGTCTGTCTCCAGATCTGTCATCTTATAAATAAGTAGCTCAGGATGGCCTTAATTGGTCTAAAGTAGTTTAGGACTGAACAGCAGGTACTAAAATTATCAGTTCTTTTGATGCCCTGAAGGCTAGTTTGAACTCTTTACCTTATGATACAATCCTCTTTTAACATGCTTTTGCCACCTCATTTTTGGGGATAATTTACTTAGAGTTTACATATAGTACTTTGCTGCAGGTGACATAATAGCTTGATTATCTGTAGCTGCAGAGATTTTTTTTCTAGGCCATGAGAAGTGAATCAGATTTGCTTTGACAAAAATGTTTTTTTTTATTTCTTCATATAGATGAAAAGGCAACCCAATTTGTTTCAGTCAGATGCTTTGTATAGCCTTGAAAACTCTCTTTCAATAGACGGAATAGATTTTCACACATGCATTATACATGAAAGAAACACTTAATAATCAGTAGTGTCAATTGGAGCATGTGAAGCACAACCATATTGCTTTTCCACTTCACTCTTGAAAGTGAGATGGCCACACTGCTTCATGAAGCAGCTTCAAAGGTATACTTCACTCAAACCTTTTTCTAAGTGAAAACCCTTTAAGAAGTTTGTGAAATCCATAAATTTCTTCCATAAATATTTATTTTCTTTAAGCATTTTTTCATTAAGCATTCTTTCATTTCTGTTTTTCTTATTTATTTATTTATTTATTTAACAGTATAGATTATTATATTGCAGTCAGACTCCTAGTGGCTCATAGCATTTCCATTAAAAAATTAAATCATATTTATTGCTTAAGTACAATCACAAAGAAGAAAAACAGATTTTATGAACAAAATATAAAGGTGAAAACATAAAACAATAATAATAAACCAATAGAAAAAAGCTCTCAATCATCCATTAATAGCAACAATTTATCATTTAAACACTCATGAAAGAAAATGATAAAGGAGAAGATACTATTCAAATAAAGAGGTATTCATTTTAATTTCAATGGTGGAGCTATTATTGTCCATCCCACAAATCGTATTATTGTCCATTCCACAAATCGACTAGATAGGTTGAACCCTGCTACAATCCTAAGTGTATTTAGGTGACAATCCATGAAAAACAATCATGAATTGTAATTGAATGTAGGGATTGAGGTCATGTAAAGTTCATGAGCAGCAAACTGCCTCGGTTTAAATGCATGATCTCACCCCGTTCATATCACCATGGTGATGTAGGGAAATACCCCAGGCTGGTACATGATTTCACCTGGTTCACATGATCTCACCTCACTCACATCAACAGGATGTCAGCAGAAAATTGCCCCTGGTTGGTGCCCCTGGCTGAGATATTCTTAAGGATTAACAAGGAGAATCTACCAATAAAAATGCTGTTGCTATGCTATTGTTATGTTACTTTATGCTGCTTGGAAAACTGTATAAGAGAATAAACACTGCGAAGGCAGTAAGATCATTTCTGCACCCTGCAATGATTGGACTCTGATTCCGTCAATTGAAACCTTAATAGTAGCCAAGGCAGCTTCTGTAACATTGGTATTATATGAGTAGGACAATTCTTACCCACTAATAAGTGTGATTTTACATTTCTTTTTCACCAATTAAAACTATTCTTCAGTGGCAGACTCATGTAAAGTATAATTGATATCTCTATATAGCCTTTCAATGGGTTAGGAAGAAAGATAATCTATTCTTAAAAATTTACAAGAGTCACTAGGAGTTAGGCAGCATATAAATGTAATAAAATAAATTATTAGGAGTTAACAGTTCTCTTCATTTGAAGAGATAGTTTGTAAAATGAGATAGTTTGATGAGGCATCCCAAAGTGGATGTAAAGCTTGATAGCCTAGTAAGGCTTTTAATGTTGCTGTTTAATTTTTATAATTGGAACATATACTTAATTTGATATGTGCAAATAAGTGCAAAGTTGTGATTTAGGCATGTAACATATTTTATGAAGGCTGCTTTCACAAGATGATGATGAATAGTTCTTCAGACAAATTTTACTGACCTTGAAATCTGCTTTTTTGGGGTACACTAGAGGTTATTATCAATAGGTATGCATTTCATTTTATCACAACTTGTTGGACATGCACATGTTCCACTAACTTCTTTTGTACTCAAGACATCATCAGATCTTTCTTTTGTACTTAAAAAAACTGACGTGAAGACTTGCAAATAGATAGGTAAGCCAGTAATTAGGAAAATGAAAATGACTGTACAAAGCAAATCTCATCTAGGATGCTCATTCTGATTTGTAGCATCTCTCAAAGTGCAGCAATTAAAATCCCAGATTACCTATTAGTGAGTAGAAAATAGTCATATAGAATGGCAATCAACCCCCATAATTATGTATAGAACTTAGAAGAATTTCAGTAATTTGTCAAAAATCAGGAGTAGGTAGACATAATATATTGCTACTGCTAATATCCATTCATTTGAAAAAAAAAATACATCTAGAAACTTTGGAAGTTTCTTCTTGAATAAGGAATAAAAAAAGGCAAGGTATGAATTATTCAAGCTTGGGGGAAATTAGATTCATTTAGACACTGAATTGGGTTTATATTGGACTTGCACTTGAGAAACAGTTAACTTCTTTCTTTTATACATTGTTTATGTATAGCCAAATAGATTTTTAAATAAAAGTTATTCCATGTATAGGTCCTCAGCAGTTGAAGATGAAGAAGATGGGAAAGACAAATTAGATAGAAATTTGTCACTATGGCAAAAGCTAACACAAATTTGCCAACCACCCAGTGACCATAGGACCAAAGTTATATATAGTTCTAAATCAATAATGTAACAATTCATATAGCTTTAATTGTTAAGTGGAATAACCCTGAGAAGGTAACAATAACTGTAACATGCTTTTAAGATATACCTACTATATTTTGTTCTGAACCAGATTGGGTACCCATCTCCCCTTTTTCTCTTTTGTGGTGTTTGGAACATTAACAACATAGGATGTTATTCTATATAATCTATGTCAAGTTTATTTTAAAGTTTATATTTTGAGCAGGATCTATGAAAGTTTGCATATTTTTAATTTCCTCTTCCAGAATACGTGTACCTAGAAAAAGATATTCAGTGGTCCCAGCCTGCTCTTCCCCCCTTCCCAGAAAATAAACGGCAATGTATTTAAAACCCCCTACGTGATAGATCCATATAACAGCTCTCTCAGTACTCTGGTTTCATAACAGTATGCTTGCTATGAAGGACTAGGACAGAATTCTAAAGGACATTTGCTTGACCCTGTTATATCTAAATTTACCTGCACCACTCAGCAAATACTTCTCATGCCTGACTTTTAGCATTACTACTGATTTTACTATTTATTCTGTTTGTATAACGCTGCCAATCATGTAAAATAATATATTGGATTTGTAGTTTATACCCTTGGGCAGAGGTGGAATGACTACTATTTGTTTGAGGAAATAAAGATGGATTTATTCTTGAGTGCTTTCAGTGAATTAATTATCCACAGGACTTCCCACTGCTTATGCAATCAGAAATTTATATAGATTTATTTGCTCCAATCAAAAACACCAAAGCCCTGATTAAATTCCCATAAAGACATTTAATAAATAGAGCACTAAACATTAAGAAAAATATATTTTTCAAAAATTTCAAATAATAATCAGCTGATTCAATAAAATCCTATAATTAAGAGTGTAAATTATATTATTCTGAATCAAAACATAGTTTCAGACTTTGGCTTGTTTTCATACAATAGTTTAAACTAGATTGTTCCAAAAGTGAACTAGATTCTCTTCTGGTATGTTAGATACAATTCCTACAATCTGTAGGAATACAATGGATAACTGTGGTTAATTTAAAAATAACATTGGAAACTTTTGGGAAAGTAAGTAGTGAGTACCTTAGCAAATAAATAGCATATTTTCTCACATTCTATGTATATATTTATCAGTTACAGGAATAATGTGCACTATATTATTTCATAGGGTATTTGGGATAATGTCTGAATCAGTTATAGTCATATATGCCGATTTATATAATCCTTTCACAGAAGGAAGACTGATAAAATCAAGGGTGTGTGTATATGCATATTCTCTCACACATTACACATACATCAATAATATTGGACTAATTTCCCATAGCTGATTTACTATTACACTGAAGGACCAAAATAAAATGAAAGAAATAAATAAAACTTCAAAAAAGTCTAAACTGTTATAACAAAATGAGCAAAGGTGCTTGTGACATTTTAAAAACCAGCATTAACTATGTTTTTAGTTTTGTGTGCCTGAACCTTTTTGTACCAGTTGCAGGAATCACTATTTTTAGTTGATGCTTATAATCTCTATCCTCTCTATATTTTATGTTTACATTAAATTTGAAATGCTACAGTGAAAAGGCTATAAAATACAAGCAGTTCAATTAAACCCTAGAAGACCAAAATCATAGATCAATAGCTTCAATGGAGTTTCTTTCTGAGACATTTCAACTTTTCAGTTTTTTATTTTATCAATCATTCTTAATATAAAAAGTAATATTTTGTTTTGTTAAGTTTCCATAGAAATATGCTCCAAAAATAAAAAATAAAGATAGTAACAAGTGCTACTAATCTCACTTGGCAAAGTCAAGTTTTTCTTTACTGTTTTACATGTAAAATTTCTGGCAATGAATTCATAATCTAAACATTTACCTGTGTTAGTTCATTGCTATCTATAAGTCCATTGTTGTCTGAATCATAATATTTAAACATCTGATCCACTAATAATTTCTTCAAAGACATCTTATCTTCAATGATGCTTTCTTTTGTTTGTAGACTATATTTTCTGTTCTGTAGATCCAGCAGGAAATTTTTCATCTTGTTGTAGTCAATGGAATTGCAATTGTTCCCTGTCAAAACAATATCATGTTTAATGATAGTCATACCACTTTTAAAAAAGAACAGTTTTGTTACAGTTTCTTTTAGCACAAATATTACACTTGGATCCTGATTCTTAAAAATGCTTAAACATTTTCAGTTCAATATTTATGAAATAGAAATTAAAACAAAGTCACTTGACAATGTGGTAGACAGCATATACATTTAAAAAAATATAAAATAAAATAAATAAAATAGATCAGAGGTCCCCAATCTAGGGGCCGCAGCCCACTACCAGGCCGTGGCCTCTTGGCTGCGTGAATAGCTGGGCAGTGCACGTGTGTGTGTGTGTGAGCTCACCTCCCCTCGTGCCACCATTGCCGTGAGTGTTGTGTGGGAAGTGGCAGCACCACTAGTATCGTGCGGGTGGTGGCGTTGCCACGAACCTTGTGCGGTGGTTGGAAACCCCTGAAATAGATAATATGACTGCTCTGATCAGTTTTAAAATCTGAACTGCATTTACAAATTTGGATAGACCAGAATCCAAGATGTCCAATCAGCAGCTCAACATATTCCAGGAATAATGTAGGCTAGGACCATTTAAAAATTGGGCCACAATTTAAATGATACTCAGAAACATAAATAATAATAGAAGGTCAAGCTGCATCCATATTTAAAGAATTAGAAATTAAATCACATTATGTGACTCTACATCAGAAATTTAACTTGGTGCCAGGTTTTTGTTGTTTTTAATATCTTTAGTTTTATAGTTGCTATGGTATTTATACTGTTTTAACTTTTAATTGGGAGCTGCCGAAAGCTGGGTGTAAGATGGATGGCTATAAAATGTTTTAAATAAAAACATGAAATGCATAAAAAAAAACTTCACTTTTTTGGTGAAAAATACATCTTTTCAAGTTAAGTTGGAACAATAATACTCACCGAACAGGTGAAAGGGATTTTAGTAACTATTAGTACTGACATTAAACTTTTTGTTTAAATTATTTCAAAGGGAAGAAATAGAAATATCTTACCTAAAACTACTCAGTAATATCAATTTTGTTAAAAAAAACTGAAATTACAATTGTAAAAAGTTTATAAAAAAAAACTGAAATTACACTCATACAGACAAATGGATGGTAAATTAATTGTGGTTGATAGTCACTAATTTTGGTTCACAGTGATTATCAAATAATTTGCAAACTTGCAATTTTGCTAAATGGATATTTGGTCACACACATTTATTTAATTCTTTTAATTGTACATCACCCAGAATGCTTCTGTAAACGGGAAGGATGGTTTCCAAAATTGATATAAAAATAAGTATACAAAAAAGTAGCATCATTGGGAAATTCTGTTAACTGTTAAAACTCAGGTTTAGAACTACAATTTTTATAGATTCGAAGACCATAGATGAGACTATTGAGCAAAAGTTTAATTTGCCCATGCAGATGTTAAGGAAATTTATGTTTGTGAAAACAATTCATGATTGTGATGGTCATTTTTACAATGTGCTATGCATTTACAATTTACAATGGAATTTCACTGAATTCTTATGGTTTTAATATGCAAAGTAAAGTGGACCAGACCAATAGCAATAGCACATAGACTTCATACTGCTCCATAGTGCTTTACAGCACTCTCTGAGTGGTTTTAATGTCAGCATCTTGCTCCCAACAATCTGGGTTTTCATTTAATCAATCTCAGAAGGATGGAAGGCTGAGTCAACCTTAAGCCAGTCAAGCTCAATCTTTTGGCAGTGGGCAGAGTTAGCCTCCACTACTGTATTCTTGTTGTGATTCTTCTCCAGCCTATAAATCCGGCAGCTGAATCTGAGGAATCAGATGAGGAGGAGGGACCTGGAGTGACATTAGAGTCAGAGGAAGGCTCTGAGAAACTCCAAGACTTACAGTCGGACGAGGAGCCTAGCCCCTCTACTCACGCTCAGGCTGAGACACAGCTGTGCTGGGAGCCTGAGTTGGACAGTGATGAAAACAGTTGGGAAACATCCAGGATGCACAAAGGCGCCAGCAAGAGAACTGAGTAGAATAGAGGAATGCAATGGGGTGTCTCCAAAGGCAAAGGAAAAGGCATTAGGAAGCCACGCCTTGGGCTGAATTATAAAAGGGAAGATGTGGGAGGTGCTGGTTGCCAAAGGCAACTGTTCGTGTTGAGGATCAAGTTTCTGTGAGCTGTGTTTGTTTGCCTTGGACATTGACTCAGGTCTGTGAGAATAAAAGGGGTTGTTGTTTTTCCTGCGGTTATTGCCTGCTTGTTGGAAGAGGGGTTTCTTCCTGTGAACATAACAAGTATGCTCATAGGCTGAGACAGAACAATTCTACCCACTAAGCCACCACAGCTCTTGCCATTGAGGACAGAGATTTATTGAGGGAATGGTATCATAATTTGAGATGCAGGACCTATTACTAAATGCTTCACCAAGCTGTCCATAATACTATACACTGCTACAGTATCATTTATAAGGAAAAAAGAAAGGCCATCACCCAAAGTTCACTAGACCATTTCTTCAAGAACAATACCAGCTTCAATAGGCTTCAATATCAGTGTATGACACTGGTATTATATTTTATTATAATGCTCCCATCTATGTAAGGTGAGAACTGTTTTTTATGCTTGTTGGACTTACGAACAAAACAGACTTATCAACAGACTCTGACATCATTACCCATTTGTAAGTAGAGGACATATAGTAGTCTCTATGCACACAAGACAAGAGACTTTGAACATGGGGTTGGTCTATTTGTTTTACTTTTTCTATCTAGAAGGTCAAAAACTTAGAAAAGAGGTGTTGACAACAAGAACTACCTCACTGCTATTCAAAAGGGCAAGAGTTAGGCTGTGAAGATTTAGAAGGGCTTTTGTGAGTTGAATTTTGACACCTCTTCCACTATAAACTTAGTCATGCATTTACAGAACGGTTTTTTGTAATTATTATTGTTACATAATTGTGCTGCATATTTTAAAAAGAGAAGTCCAAAAGGTTTGTTGGGATATTTTTCTTTCAAGCAAGACTTGCAAATGATCTCTATCAGTTAATAACTTCAAAAATAGCAGTGCAGTACTAAAAGATGCTCTTGCTATTGAATCTGTATCCTCCATAGCTTTAAAGATAGAGTGTATAGCTCAGAATGCCTTTCTGTCAGTGCTATGTAAATTTCATGCTATTTACCAAGAAAGTTAGAAAGGCAAATTATGTAAGATTAAAATATGTTGTTCCAAAATCAGTTTTGTGCTTTTAAAATATTATTTGCTTAATCCTGAGTTGTATCCTGTATTTTTATGTAATCATTTGTTCCTATCTTGATTTGTTTGTTTTTTCAGGCTGTAAGTATTTGATAGAATCCCTTTATTGGAATTCATGGAGGTTCTGATCAGCAAGACTATTAATGGCATGTTAACTGAGTAGTTATAAAGCTGGCTTGAAATATCTATTCATAGAGTGTTCATTACTGACTTATCATGAGAAGCAGTCCTGAGCTCTATAAGCTTCAACATATTTATCAATGGCTTGGATGTAGATGTTAAGGTAGTGTTTTTCAAATCTGTAGATAGCACACAATTGTGTGTCTAGGATAGTTACCTAGAAGCCATAAATAAAATTCAAAATGATGTTGATAGATTGGATAAATGGGCCAAAAATAACAGAATGAAATTCAAAAGAGATAAGTGTTAAGTCCTGGGAGCGATGGCAAATGAAGAATACACATGTTTCTGGAACAGCTCTTTATTATGCTTATTTCAAACTCCAACAACAAGTTGGAGGCCTCCTTTTATACATCCCCATTCCCCGGACAAGATGGCAACATTACTAGGCACTTTTCGCGCCTTGCGCATGCGCACTTGGTCGGCGCCACTCAGTCTGGTCCCGGGCAGCTTTTGCAATTGCCCGGGAACCTTGCAATGTCCCGAGCCTGCATTTGCAGGCTCCGGACACAACACCAAGCACAACATCTATGGAGATTCTCAGTCTTCCGGGTCGTGTACAAATGTAGCTGTCCCAAAGGTGCTTTTTCATGAGGCAACTGAACTTTCTTTTTTTATTTTAAATGTTTCACTTATCATCCAAGAAGCTTCTTTAGCTCTGATTGGATGATGGGGAATGAAAGGAAGAAAAAGAAAGAAAAGGAACAAAAAGCAAGATAGTCCGGTTACTACATGAAAAAGCATCTTTGAGATAAGCACAACATTTTTCACTTCATTCTCAGCAAACAAATACACAGGTGAGAATGATTACTACATAGCTTAGTAATGATTCTTGCAAAAAAAACCCCTTTGGAATAAAAATTGATTGAAAACTGCATATAAATTGAAGTTAATGTGACTGCAGTAACATATTGGTTCCAAATTTTGGGAAGTATTCTTTTTTATCTTATACGGATTACAGTATTGTGTACAAATATTGGTGCCACATATGAAGAAGGATTCAGACAAACTTGAATGTATTTAAATGATGGCAAGAAATTCATCTGTTCAGAATGTTATAATTTGTATTCCACAACTGAAAAGATGGTCAGGCTGTATAAAATTTGAGGAGCCCTAAATAAATCTATGACTGTAAATCCTAAAGCCATCACATCAATTGCATCAAACCCTCTGGGAATAAACAAACTTAGTCAAATAAGTTTCTTAATAAAACAATTTGTAATATAAGTCACAAGGTTACTTTAGGCAAAGTATGTTTTTAAGCCATATTCTCATCCAAGTATTAATTAATATGCCACCTCTACGAGCACTTACAGGATAGTTAGAGTCAACCCAGAACAGGTGCTATTGAATTGTCTCATAAATAAATAAATAAATAAATAAATTGTCCTTGGATGTAATCTTGCAGTTCTTATAGTAGCGGCATCAGCATGGATGAATCTAACTGCCAGACTGCCACATGCTGTACCAGCTGAAGCTTCTGGACAGTTTTCAAGAAAAAACACCATATTATACCTGCAAATTAACAAGGACATTCCTGATTCCAGAATGCCTGCAATTGTCAAACCAGACCTAATTGTACAATTCA